ATTTTCAAAATAAACAGGTGATACAAAGACTAAAGTACAGTCGTCATTCTTCTTTATGGAATATCTAATATGCTCAGTCAGCGATTGTTTCAATGGAAATCACAAGTATGAGGTTTGACCTGGGCGTGACTTGCATTAATTGCCACCTGTGACTCCTTTGATACCTTCGTATCACCTAAAAAATACCTAATTAAAGCTTGGTAAAGTTAAAGTTTGTACTCGTTAATCTGCGCAACAGTCAAAGTCGCCATTTTTGTTGATATGAGACCCATATCTCGAGCATGCGTGGCGCGACGACTCCCGCCCTTTAAACTTTTAACTGATCAATTTGTGACCGATACTAAGAAAATTTGTAACTAAGATATATCACGGATATATCTCACGTACGGATGCACGTCAACTTTGTTTTGGGATCTATGCATGTTAAGTATAGTTTACTACAAAGGTGTATCACTAAAACGTACATATGAATATCAATTTTATTTTGCGTATTAAGTATGGTCTTATATGGTATAACCATAGCTATTTTGTATACAATTATATGGTTACCTGAAACTTTTTTTTATATTAATAATTTACTATTCAATAAATACTGCACAAATATTTGACTACTTGTGGCTGTCTATCGCACACATTCGATCAGGTCCAAACAAACTGTGAGCACTGTGTTTGTGTAATGGTAACACATGTAAGAGACTATGATAGACTGTAATACGTATATAAATTATTATATCGTTTATTTCGGTAGAGAAGACTGGCATCAATGTACAATGAGAACAATCCACTCTAAACATGCACTGAAACACCCTTTATATAGGGTTAATTGGATTCACACTTCGGATTTTAAAATTGGAGGGAAACACTGTGATTGGTTTGCCATGTGAGAAGGTCACTATTAAGTATACACTGCGACTTCATCCGCTACAAAGTTGCGACTTCTCTTGCGTTCGCAGTGATAAGAGTGTATTTGTGACCATTACGTTAATGGCTTACGTAAACTGATTTGTGTTTCTTTTTAATAGAGATACATGCATTGTGAGGTGAAATCAAACATGAAACGAGTTCTAACGAATATATCTCAGTGAATAATGCTTGGAATCGAATAAAACGAAAACAAACCAATACAGAAAATCATTGTCTATCGATACAAACTAAATACGAATGAAAAATAACAATTACAATTAAACAACAACAAATATGAATGAATCACGGAACACACACGTGATTAAGCATCCACGATACTACTATACGGTAATTTTGTTAGCGAAATTAAAAAAACTTTGAACGTGGACGTGTGGTACACATGAATGCTTATATCAATTACCGTCAGTACCATCTTACTTTTTTATATATTAATAAATTATTTATTACTATATTTATTCTAAATTTAATATATAACATTCGTAGGAATAATTTTGGTATGAAAAATAAAAAATGTTTGTACTGTATGATAATTTTAATAATAATAATAATAATAATAATATGAGGCTATTACGAGGATGCCGAAAAGTATGCACGAAGACAGTACAACGAGAGTATCGACCGACGTACTGTCTGAGTGCATACTTTGCGGTATCCTCGTAATGACCTTATTATTATACATCTTTTCTTCCCAAGGATACGTCATGGGAATGCCGAAATCCAAAACATTTAGAAAAGATTCAGCGAAAATCTTTGTGTGGATTCCGGTCAAACCCTGGTGGCAGCCATGTTTGTTTTTATTATTAGAGGACGCTTACTCGCGTAATCATTCCATATTTGGAATTCGCATTTCCTCTAATATGGTAGGATGAAAATATCCCGTAAAATACAGCAAAATTACGGCACGCTGTAACTTATGGCGTTACGGTGACAGATGTATAATAATAATAATAATAATAATAATAATAATAATAATAATAATAATAATAATAATAATAATAATAATAATTATAATTATAATTATAATAATTGCTTTTGTATCCTAATTTGTTTAGAAAGAAAATAATAATAGCTTATTAATTAATAAATAGTTTATTAATAAATTGACAGGACTGAATACATTTAATAATTAGCATGTAATTAGCCCGTCTCGATATTTTACTAAACGTATATAATAAATATAGCAATGAATATAGAATTCAGTAGTGTAGTTAAATACCCATGTATGTGTATTTTCAAAAACTTACAGAAAACTAACATTTTTCGTATGTTATATTCATCTATATTTGCAAGATTCACACACATAACTCACTTCTAAAAGACATCTTTCCGATAATATATACACTGCATAGCGCAATGGGTCATACAAATGTGAGTTGTTCTGTCACCACTCTAATATAAAAGAGAACATGGTGGCACAGTTTACACGAATTTGACAAAATATGAGTTTTAATTTAGAAGAGAAATATTACATAAAATGTAAAAAAACACATAAAACTTGTTTTTATTTAAGTCATGTATCCGCTCCTGTCAGGACTGGAGATTTGGTGTGGTTATGGGTAAATACGATGGGGACACTTAACCTTTCGAATGTTTATTAACCGTCTGATCATTTTAACTTGAGGTTATGAGAAAAACAAATAAAACAAAAAACAAAAAAACAAAAATGCCGCGCAGAAATGGCACTCTCCGATTACACACGCCGCAGAAATATCAATATCCCCTTAGCTATGATTTAACACGCCTCCCAGAAATCTTGCTTGCCGCTGAGAAGTTGCACCTGCCGTGGAGTAATCGTTGTTTCGGCATTATTCCATTGCGTGTTCGCTTTTCATTCGCGTTATAATTAGTTCATTGCATGTTCACATTTCATGTTCAAATTATTCCATTGCGTATTCGCGTTTCATGTTCACATTATTCCATTGTATGTTCGCATTTCATGGTCACATTATTTCATTGTATGTTTGCATTTTATTTTGTGCTAGCATTATTCCATTACGTGTTCGCGTTTTAGTAAAATCAGCGGTTGTCACTGAAATATAAAATTAGAAATTAGAAGTATTGATTCGACATGGATACAACGTCATACAGGTACGCTACAGTACATAGTGAACTCGGTGTGGGAATTGTTCCAATTTCGTATTTTTAAGTCATAAACAAATTTATTTATTCCGAAAAACGCAAGTCTACATATGTCATTGATGCTATCTGAGATCAATTAATGGTGATAACACAATCTTATAGTTTGGTTGAAAGCCGACAATCAGATTCAAATTCAAGGTACAGGTATAAATATGAAGCAAATTTTGTCGTCGTCTGATCTCGAAAGTAAATCATCCATATATAAGGTGCGCCCTCTAACTGAAAATTCTGCAAATAAAATAATAATTCTTTTAACTCCCGAAACTGGCATCTATTCTGGGGCGCTTTGGTTTACAGGAAATTTCACAATGGTACTCTTTAAAAAAATAGTGGATATATTACATACTGGTCAGTTCAATAAACGTACGGTTTTGAATATTGGAAAAAATAGTAGATATTGATATTCTTAAAGGGCGGTAGTCGTCGCGCCACACACACGCGAGATATATGTGTCTCATATAAACAAAAAATGGCGACTTTGACATAGCAGTCAAACCTCATACATAGAAGAGCGCATTGGATATTGGGAAAATAAATGTTTATCAACACAAAAGCCGCACATGCGCAGTACGACGACTACCGTCCTTTAAAATCACGCTAGATATAACTGCCCTGGACTTTATATAACTGGGGCGAGCAAATACATACCAAAAACCGAACCGATTTTTTCAAAATTGCCATATTTTTGATCACTCAGAATGAATACATGTTTTGGCATAATCGTAAAGACAAGATGTCCTAGAACCACGATCACGTCCATAGCAACTACGATCACGTCCATAGCAACTACGATCACGTCCATAGCAACTACGCTTACCTATGATGTGAAGTGAAGCTATTAATGGAATGACACGGAATAGAAGAATGTACTTTTTTTTATTAGTTTGGCATGATTGGGTGGTCAGATGACCTACTTAATATGCAAGTGATTATATGCAAACACGGGTATGCTTACCATCTGACGTAATCGGCGATAGTTATTGTATCATTCTCGCTGATGAAATTAGTAATTTGAGTCCAATTGAATCCGAGGGCAAGGGCACAACAACTACCGCCAACTATGTCGGCCTAGCTTCTAGATTTATAAGGTCAACACTGTTTAGAAGAATGAGGTGGGTTTATTAACAACCAAGCCAATACCCATAACAGCACATCTAAACACATAATACACACAATTGCCAACAATTCTGGATATAAAATATATCATTGACATTGACTATTTCAAATCGATATGTTTGTGGTGTATATAATGTGTACATATGTACACTCATTGTGCAGACATTGACATATTCATAGTAATCTGGCTCAGCCCACCATTGCTGCTTGTAGCTATATTTTGTCTAATTCCGGTATGTTCGTATTTCATTTCAAATATTAATGTCAAAGAAGCCTATTATCTGTAATTAAAATATAAAAGCGTTAATTGTTTGATAAATAAATTGAGTTCCAATAGTTAAAATTAATAATACCGATCAAACAATATTCATATCCAATCATCGAACAATTCACTGAAGAAAAACCTCCTTTAAATGTCCTTCATCAATTCACTCAAACGTAACACGTGGTTAAACAGTATTAAATATTAATACCCATTATACTAATTAAATTCGTTCAAGTATAACTTCAACTCGGTTAAAATTATCCGCTCATTAAAAATTGCAGTTTGAATACACCAACATAGCGAGGCACTACAATCGCAAATTCAAGGTAAGATAAACTGTCGCTTCCACTCACTGCTAATATACAATTGTTCCTGGTTACCTAGGAGTATACATAAACCATTACTTGTGTCGGGGAGCCAAGATAACGCCAATAGTTGATTGATAGGTGTTAGGAATTCGTGGTCCTGTTTTATGTTGATTAGAGGCAGCACAACACACACAGAAATATTTATATATTACATTACAGTTGTGTATTGAAGGGACCGGTAAACCAAAATGGCGTTGCAATCCGGTATATTATTATTTGCTGCCATACAAGCTGTGGTCAACTATTCAGGTAAAAATATAATATTTGAATAATAGCACCTTTCAGTCTTGTTGTTTCAAGTTTACAAGCAATAAGGGTCAACATTTGTGAATATCACGACAGAAAAGCAAAATAAATGCACACACTACTTCGCCACATTGCTGTCAGTGTTTAGAACGTCGGTGTCATTTGTATATATAACACTATTAGCTCTTTTTATTGTGGTGTATATGACAGCCCGGCGAATGTATTTGTCAAACCTCTTCGTTTGTACAGTTATCGTAACAAAATCACGCATGGATAGAGGGCTATAGTCACTGACTGTCACAATATTGCCAATATTACTTTACACAATGACGTAGCAGTCAAGCAGTATCCAAAACTGTTGTCGTTACTAATATGCAGATGAAAAACAACTTTGCCGATTTTAATTGTCATATAAAAAACAAATTATGACGATTACAAAAGTGTAGGGTTATAGAAATGTACTAGGTGTATCTCTTAATAAAACGACTTATTCCCAGCGGTGTGCGCCTGTGCTGATCCGTAAATGACATTTATTACTGTGCATTCCTCGTTCATCGGTGTTGTAACGTGTATTATAACATGTTTAGTCTGAATCTAAACAAGGATTTATAACTTATAACTAGAAGACTTGTGATCCTAACGCGGAACTAGCTCAAATACCAAATTGAATCGGGATCACGCGACTGTCACACTGTCAGTTGTGGGTGTACGATCAACTGATCAAAACAAAGGAAACTTGGTACAATCACTAATACGAATTTGTATTACCAAATATGTTAATATATATATTTACTTAATGCTTCCCGTGAGGATCGTGTGTGTTCATTTCAATATACTAGAGGCTCGAATTGAACACGTGACGTCATTGACGCGTCTTTCATTGAGTCTGTCGTCTGTTTTGTAAATCGACGTAAATGCAAAGAATCACAACAAAAATATGTTTCACTTGTTATGTGCGAAAATAGTGTATGGTCGGTATTACCGCTAGATCGTTGAAATACACTAGAGTTTACAATTGTGTCATTTGTGGGTATGTTCTATGGAGTGCGTTTTGCGCCTAGGAATCTGAAAATGAGGTTAATTTCTGACATTTTTAAAAAGTATACCAGTTTAATTAAACCCAAAGATCCATTATATGACGCAATATTGAGTATTATATATGTTTTCAGAATAATCACACTATTTAGGTGTTTAAAAATACGGATCTTCGTTGCCCCTCAATATGGTAGTATAATCTAAGAAAATTAAATTTAGAGAATTGGAAATTTACTCTTAGCAATATGAACAGCTATTTTGTAGCGTATTTCTTGTGTTATAAAGATATTATAAACGGTTGCTCGGGTATTTAGTAGCGAATATTAGACCTCTCTGAAAAAAATAAGCTCGGCTATTATCTCTCGTAAAATATGCTAATTTTCTGCTACCAAAATACTCTCGCTTGCCGTTCATAACTTTTTTTAACATAACATGTTTTTCGCTGCATTTAATTTGAGTATACATTGAATAATATCAAATCACATTACAGGCGTGTTGTCGAGTCCGCACGAAGAAAACTTACAAACTGAAGTTTTCAACGGTTATAACAAAGACATTCGACCTGTCAACGTAGTAACTGACACGATGGTGTTGTCGTTTTCACTTTACATACTGCAGATCCTGGATATAGTAAGATACTGTCAGTTTTAGCGATACATTCGTCCAATAACTCTCTAGCAATTCTGTGGCATAATAATTGACGTACATGAAAACGAAAATTGCCTTACATGGCAAACACAAATCGCCTCTTTCTTAGTTCAGCAAAATCGTTATTCCGATAGTTTTAGATAGCCTGAAGTCGGTTTAACATGTGCTAGTCCAACTTAAATTTTGAGTTTTCTGCAATAACCGTCTGAAACGTGTCCTTCACTATCCACGGTTGTTTTCGTGTGTTTAGTTGCGTGTTCTGAGCTGCGTTAATGATATAATATAATCATACTATTATATTATATTATAATTAATAATTTAATCATACTAATGTATGGAAGAACTAAATCATTGTTGATGCGCAGTTTGAAAGAAATTCTTCCAAACCGGTTTCTAGGACTGTGGTGTAAGCAATATTCTTTAAAATACACAATTCTGTTGGTTGCTTAGTTGTTCGTCATTTTGATTATGAAATTTCTTAATAATGGACTGGCACGTTTTAAAACATAACGTAACGTAACAGAAGTGTTTTGTCACCAGAGGGCGCGTTCTATAGGAACGATATATTATTAGAACTGAGCATTTAAAAATAATATGAGGTTATTACGAGGATACCTCAAAGTATGCACGAAGACAGTACAGCGGGAGTATCGACCGACCCGCAGCAGGGGCCGATGCGACGGCATACTGTCTGAGGTATCCTCGTAATAACTTATTATTATACATCTTTTCCTTCCAAGGATACATCATGGAAATGCCAAAATCCAAAATGGGTAGAACAGAATCGATGAAATTCTTTGTGTGGAGACCAGTCAAACATGATGGCAGCCATGTTTGTTTTATTATTAGAGAACGCTTACGCGCGTAATCATCACATATTTGGAATTCTTATTTCCTAATACGGTAGGATGAAAATACCCCGTAAAACACCACAAAATTACGGCACGCTGTAACTTATGGCGTTACGGTGACAGAAGTATAATAATATTAATTATTCTCCAAAAAATGGCCGGATATTTTTTTAATAATGAAATAAAAATGTACTTTAAATGATCATTTGTATCAGCTGAATTATAAATACGTTTTCATAGCAACATGAAACACTACCTAATATATACATTTTGTTGCCAGGAGGAAAAAAATCAGTTGATCAAGACAATCGGTTGGACTCAACAGGTATGAATAGGATATGTATATGCATTAGAACTAAAAAAAACAATAGATTTTACGTTATTTTATAATTATATTCACATTCACATTGTTTTATAATTTGTGTATGTGTAGTGAATAATGTGATACAATTCTCATAGGAGTGGAGAGATGAAAAACTTCACTGGAATCCCGCGGACCATTCAAATATTAATCAAATTGTGATTCCTGTTAAGGATTTATGGACACCAAACATTATGCTGGACAACAGGTGGGTATTGCGTGGGTGGGTATATCACTGCAAGAGACTCGAATTAGAATTGTGTGCAAATTCAATGGAAAACGTACTAAGTTAGCCGGTTACATGGATAAGTACGCATGTAGTTTGTTTAAATCGAAACTTGATTAGTATTAATACACGGATTTAATGACGTAATGCTTTTCCGTCCCACAGTGCCAATGGTGAGTACGAGATACCTAAGATTGCAACAGCTGTGCTCAGTCACGATGGAAACGTTACCTACAGCGTTCCTGTCATCTTTGTAACTCCGTGCATCTTGGATATACGCTATTTCCCATTCGACAGTCAACAGTGCCAATTGAAATTCGGTCCCTGGGATCGTACGAGGCAAGAGATCGTGATGAACCTAAAGCATGACGCCATTGATAATACGAAGTACATTAATAACAGTGAATGGGACTGGGTCAAGTCAACAGCTATAATAACCGATGACAACGTAGACGGCGACGGTTATAGCTTGGTCACCTATACTATCTTTGTTGAAAGGCGGCCGCTCTACTATGTTATCAACATCTTGTTACCGTCCATCGCCATGGCATTATTGTCAGCACTTGTCTTGTGCTTACCACCGGAATCTGGTGAAAAGATGTCATTCGGAGTGTCTATACTCGTTGCCACGTCTGTGTTTGGCGTACTTGTTTCTGATATCACCCCGGCCACTTCTGACCATGTCCCGTTATTGATTCAGTTTTTGATGTTTAACTTGTTTCTCGTGACAGTGTCTATTTGCGTCAGTGTAGCTGTATTACAAGTATACCACCGGTCATCTTACAATCTAAAAATGCCATCCTCAATTAGGTTGATCTTCATGAAAATATTGCCCAAGGCATTGTTTATGAAACCCTTTGCCTTGACATGGGATACTCACAAAGTGCACGTGGAACCCAGGAAGGATCGTCCTAGCAATACAGCGTGGACATTGGAAGATATATCTAGGAATGAGCATACCAACAACCAATCCATACCAACTTCTGAACTCCAAAGGCATGACGGGATACATAAAAGTGTAACATTACTTCAGGAAATCCTGGACGAGCTGCGCCACTTTCGAACAAGCGTGAAGGCAGAAAATGTTGAATCAGAGGTGAGATTTTTTCAATGTAAACTTTACAGTTATTTAGGTATTTAAAGGGCGGCAGTCGTCGTGCCGCGTCCTGTTCGATATGGGACTCATAGCGACGTATACAACGCGTGTAAAATACATTGTTTATTTACATGAAATTCGAACACGCGCTGCGCGACGACCACCGCGCTTTAAAGTTCTCAAAGTAGTCATACGTTGTTCGAAGCGCAGATTTGAAACTAACTAATAAAAAAAGGGCACTTAACAAACGGCGTTCAAATTGATACTCGCCAAGCAAACTTGTTATACGGCCGAATGGTCTAAAACCTACTTTACTTTATTCCTATTTATACCCTGCGTATATGTTTGCAACGCTAGAAGGGAATGAACAACAGTGTAATAGACATTCGATGGCAGATGCGAAACAAGCGTATGCGCACAGTGTGGGCAGATGATTCAAACGCAAATTATTAGTGACCAGACACCTGATTTGCCAATATATTCAAATTCATGAAGCTGCATTATAGGTAATGTTGTGTGAGGCATTTTCTTAGATGATAGATATATTTTATACATGTAGTTTGAAGATGGGAACTGGGAATTGGAGTTTGCCTTACTTTCACAGTGGTGAGCTATACGCATGTTTATTCATACGCGCTGCTGTTTCTTCCATAATTGATATGTTCTGCCGTGAACATTGTTGTGTAACGCAAGCAAGTTAGTAAATAGCTTACTTTAGGGCCATGCTTCACTGATGGTCATACTTTTGCATGACAGAGGAATTCATAATGTGGAATAGGAATCATCTTATCCATTCATTGAAGTTATACTAGGTGCATGGAGATTTCAAGATCTATTGTGAATTCCAACCCCATATTTGAAGATTTTTGGATCGCGTCAACTAAAATTAAAATAAATATATTTTAGACGCGTTTATTTCAAGTTAAATACTAATTTAAAACACATACAAGCAATTTATTGATCACGCGGTCGAACGTATTCAAAATGTCGAAAACAAGGCATTGTCATGAATTTGTTTTTGCGTTTCTGTTAACCGACTTAATTAGCTGATTATTAGCTGAATTGCTGTGTTATGTCTGTCATCGTTTAGGCCTATTTGAAGTTTTGGACGGAACTTGGCTCAGTGATTTGGAACTAATTACGAGATAACCATCGCTATTCAGACTACTCATTCTGACAGTTTATAATAATATTCATAGTTATTAATGTAGTGAACGATTAATCAAAAGATATGACGTATTCAGTACTTAGTGTGATTGGCTTTATGATTGAAGGTTACGCCCTAGAGTCTTTTTACTGTTTTGTAATTGGTTAGAGTTTTGAAAATGAATAAAGAGAGTTTGAGTTGGTCTGGATGAGTACACTAGAACAGACGCAGTCCTGGAGAGCCTTGGGCGAGTGTTGACGCAGTCTAAAAGAGTCTTGGGTCAGCCTTGCGATAGTCTTGGGGATTTTTTCCCAGGGCGCTGTGTCTTATAGAGTGCTCGATTGATCGACTAAGACGAGAGTTGAAACGTATTTCGTTGTGTATGTCTTATTTGACTGTAAAGCTTAAGTGACTTCCCCGATCCCATACCTCAAGGGGACGAGATATAGAGACGAGACGAGATTCCCCCCTGGCAAGTGTGGAGAACCCCGTGGAGGAAGAATTTACCCCTGATAGCATTTTCAAATATATATTTTTTTTAGTTTGCTTTCAATTGTTAGTAGCTCTTACGCTAATCTTCCTACCCCCTTTTTTCAGTAACGTAGCAACCCTGGAACACGTGTATATATTTTCAAAAGTGATCAATTACATTAAACATTGTGAATATGTAGCATGCATGGTTGATTCAGCATTTAACAGTCATTTTTGTCATTTCAGATGCTAGCAGAGTGGAGATACGTAGCAAAAGTCGTGGACCGCCTTTTCTTCGTAATGGCAGTATTTTCGTATCTAATTGGAGCCATAGTAATATTCTCAGACCGGTCAACTGATGAAGTTTGATCTAGTGGCATTTTATTCATTTATCATTCAGCATTCGGGATACTTTGCTAGATTGATGGGTTTTAATTCATTCATACACAGTGGAGATTCTTAAACCGTGAAATGAAATTTCAATTCTAGGACATAGCCAAAGCATTCCAATCCAGGGCGAAATGAGTGAAAGAACTTAGTATATATACACAGACGTCACGAAATTGTGTGAGCATATCTTGGCTGCCATACTATTATTCTGAAGCACTTAATAAATTATTAGTGGCGTTTAAGAATCATACGTATATTTGTGACATTATTGTCTTTCAACAAATAGGTTAATATTTCATTTAATTCTCTTCATTTTTCACGCTCGAGCTTGAAATTATTCATTATCTGACACTCTTTATGAGTTCTATGATATCAGTGGTTAATATGTTTGGCCATTTTTAGCGTATATTTATAATAATGCAGCAAATCTACAGTGTTTTATTAACCAAAACTGTTTTTCGCGTTTTTCTCGAGTTGAAGTTTTGATCGAGTACGACTCATTGGGACCGCCGCCAAATCAAGTGCGTTCGGACTAGGACATTGAAACTCGCAGTCATCGTTCAAAAGATAATGATGGTGCGAAATATGTCTGGGTTTTTAAAAGAAAATGCTTTGTCACAGAATAATAGTCTGTTAAAGGTGTGATGAA